TTGATTTGTACTTTTTCTTAAATCAGAATCTCTGAGCATTTGTCTTTCTGATAGATGACAAATATGGTAGCCACTGTTTGAGGGCACATTGATTTCTTTAACCAGTCATCTTCCATGCATAATAGAGAAAAAGTTTTCCCCCAGTTCTGGGGCTTGAACTCAGTGCCTTGTGCTTTCACTCAGCTTGTTTATTTTTCACTTGCATTCTATGGTACTGAGCCATTTCTACAGTCCTGCTCTTTGTTGGTTATTTTGGAGGTGGAGTCTAGCAGACATTTCTTCCAAGGACAACTTCACTGATCCTCAAGTCTCAGCCTCCTGAGAAATTAAGATTACAGGCCTGAACCACTGGTTCCAAACTCATGTAGATATATTTTCTTTATTGTAAAAATATCGTACAGAGGGGTTATAATTACATGGGCAAGGTAATGAGTACATTTCTTATCAAGCATTGTTGCCTCCTCCTTTGTTTCCTCTTCCCAACCCTTCCCATCTCCCACCCACCCCCTCATGTAGATCTATTTGTGTAAAAGTTATTCTGCCACCATTCTAGTGATTTCTTTGCACTCAGCAGACTTTGAGTAACATGTTGATATAGGTGAATATGCCTAAAAAACTTATTTAATAAGGGTACCCCTAGAGTAAGCATACAGTGCCTTTTCTAATATACTAGAACAAGAAATATGTAACCAAAGAGGCACCAAAAAAGGATAAAGAAGTGATTAGACTTAGAGATGTCCATGATTTAGCTTTGTTAACCCACTAATATAGATTACTCCATTGGCCAAATTATTGTCAACTCGGCCTGTTCATAAGAGTATAGTCTAAGCTGGGTGCTGGTGGCTCACGCCTGTAATCCTAGCTACTCAGAAGGCTGAGATCTGAGGATTGAGGTTCAAAGCCAGCCCAGGCAGGAAAGTCTGTGAGACTCTTATCTCCAATAAACCACCAGAAAACCGAAAGTGGCACTGTGGCTCAAGCGGTAGAGCGCTCGCCTTGAGCTGAAGAGCTGAGGGGCAGCGCCTAGGCCCAGGGTTTAAGCCCTACAAGTGACCAAAAAAAAGGGGGGAGTATAGTCTAAATTTGTAAATGGGAGAATTATCTTCACTATTTATGAAACGTGTTTTATATTCAGATGTTATTAGCTTTTTTCAGATAACTAAAACCTATCATTTTAAGTGCTAGCTTTAATTATTTTTTAATTCTTCTTGAACAAGTGTTACTGAGTTGCATAAGTCATTCCCCACATAAACACCTTTCTTCCTATACTGGCAGCCACCACTTTGGTTGCATTCTGTCAGAGAAACTTCCCTTTCTGATTCTCACAGAAAATACAGGTGGGACTGATGGTTACCAGGATTAGTTCTAAATTTGCAGGCTGGACTCTCATGGTCTCAAGTCTTCACAATGAAACACACATTATTTCCCCAAGTTTAGTGGCTTTTTACCTTTTGCTTCCAGTATAGTTGAGTATTAGCTTTTTACATGCCTTTACTTTAAGATAAAGCTATTGACAGTTTTACACCCACCTGTTACATTGATGACATTAAAATATTCCATTGGTTCAGTGTTAGGTAGCTTCAATTACCATCCCATTGGCTCTGAAAGCCAGTGATTTTACTTATCATTACAGTATACTTTGGGTGTACCATACCTAGATGAATAGGTTCAGTAATGCTGTAAACTTAAATAGCAACAGAGCGCAAATAAAAAATCAACTCTGATTTTGTTTTGAATGAAGGGGTGAACAAGAAGTCTATAAGTAAACACTATATCAGGCTCTCTGAGAGAATATACTTTATCACAGAAGAGGAGGAGGTTTGTGAAATTTCAAGGGCTTCTCTGTCAAGGACCACTACAGATGACCTTGTGGGCTTGAAAACGTAGGAGCTAGGGCTGGGCATGTAGCTCAGTGATACAGAATATACTTAGCATGCATGAGTCCCTGGGGTCATTTGCCAGCACCAAAAACAAGTAAACGTGAAAAGTAAGGGTGAAGTTGCTGATGGAGAAGTAATTTCATGTGCCCATGGTGCTATACAGATCCAAGATTTCAGAAAGGAAGACCTTACCTTTTGTATGACTACCATCACCCATTTTGTCCATTCAGTGAGAAGCCTCAAGCTGGGTCAGAAATTCAGGCTACTAGTTTGAACATAGGAGTTTTAAAAAAGCCAGCAGGGTGCCGGGAGCTCATGCCTTTAATCCTAGCTACTCAGGAGGCTGAGATCTTAGGATCACTGTTCAAAGCCAGCCCAGGCAGGAAAGTCCATGAGATTTGTATTTCCAATAAACCACCAGAAAACTGGAAGTGGTACTGTGTCTCAAGTGGTAGAGCACTTGCCTTGAGCTGAAGAGCTGAGGGACAGCACCCAGGCCCAGAGTTCAAGCCCTACAACAGACCCCCCCCCAAAAAATCACCAATTTAACAAGGGGGCAACATCTTGATCTTCAAAAAGTCAGTTCTGGCCAAGAGATCTTGGTGGTTTGGGGAAAGTTGAATCCCAAAAAATTTGGTTTATCTTCTAGAGGATGGAAATTGTAATAATACTGATGTGTACAATCTGCAAGAGAAAGCCTCATTTCTAATGTTCAACAATTACCCTATATGTTACATTATGTTTTCTCCTAAACGTAACTATAATTTTTAGCTGTAATAGCAGTCTCCATGTCAGTAAAATGAGGATTTTATCACCTGCTTTCTACAGCTTCCATGTAGTTTTAAATTTCAGAAAATGCCTTATATAAAAGTAGCAATCTCATTCAAATAACTTATTAGACCAACTGCTATGAGACAAGCAATTGAGAGTATAAATATGCAATATGGTGTTATTTATGGGAATAATGTAAGTTGAACTCAGAGCCTCATGCTTGCTAGACAGTCACTCTACCTCTTAAGCCACATATACTCCTAGCCCTTTTTTACTTCAGCTGTTTTTCAAATAGATTCTCATGGTTTTCCCCAGTCAGCCTGGAAGTTCATCCCTTTACCTATGCCTCTCTCATGGCTGGGACTACAGGCATGAACCCATTGGTTGAAATTAGGCAAAACATTTTTTTCCCAGACTCACTATGAACCACAGAGATACTCCCAATCACTGTCCCTGAGTGGCTTGTAATTACAAGGATGCACCATTATACCTGGCCCTTTAACAGTTTTCTTTTTTGGCAGTACTGGGGTTTAAAAGCAGGGCTTCATACTTGCTAGGCAAGCTCTCTACTGCTTGAGACAGGCCTCCAGCCCTTTTATCTCTGGTTATTTTTGAGGTAAGGTCTCACTTTTTACTAGGGCTGGGCTTTAACTGCTCTTTTCTCTTCTGTAAAGCTTTGGTTGGCTTGGGGTGTGGAGTAGGGCTGATGGCAGGAAGGCACTATGAGCACATAATGCTGTGGCTTGGACAAGAGTTGGTCACCCCTTTAAGCAAGCTGATGAAGGTAGTTTCTCCCGGTGTATTTGAGAGCTAATGTATCAGTTCCTGCCCTTTTATGAGAAGGTGGCCAGCTGTGCTGTATGTAACTTCTGCTTCACCTTATGAGATACGAAGTGGCTGATGGGTAGAATGGTAGCCAGTTTACACATGACTCGATGGTTGGGCAGGGCTGAGGCTGATCCACCTAGAATGGCACTGGCTGGAGAGTTCAGGGCCCCATACTGGCCTCTCAGTGACCACTGGCACCACTTCAACCCTCACTGTCTTGCCACCACACTTGATTAGCTCTCATTCCTGTAGTTATGCAGAGTCACTCTGAAAGAAAAATAAAACTCTAATTATAAAAAATACGGGGCTGGGAAGGTGGCTCAGTGGTAGAGTGCTTGCCTTGCATGCATGAGGCCCTGGGCTCCATTCCTCAGAACCACATAAGCAAAAAGAAAAAAGCCGGAAGTGGCACTGTGGCTCAAGTGGTAGAGCGCTAGCCTTGAGCTGAAGAGCTGAGGGACAGTGCGCAGGCCCAGAGTTCAGGCCCCACAACTGGACCCAATAAATAAATTAATTAATAAAATAGGATTATTTATCAACAACCCTGAAATACATTTTAATAACATAAAAATCCTGAGACTACAGAGACAGACAACTGTCTTGTCCTAAACACTGTAGGCAAATCTGATTGTCACAGCTACGAGTAGGCTACAGAGAAACAACTCTGTGTGGGACAGCCTGAACTATAGAAAAGTTTTCTAAGCATGACAAATGTCATCTATGTACAGCTTCTTCTTTTTTTTTCTTTGTCTGTCTGGGGCCTGATCTCTCCACCTGGGCGCAGTCCCTTGGCTCTTCAGCTCAAGGCTAGCACTCTACTACTTGAGCCACAGCACCACTTCTGACTTTTTCTGCTTATGTGGTGCTAAGGAATCGAACCCAGAGCCTCATGCATGCAAGGCAAGCACTCTACCACTGAGCCACCTTCCCAGCCCATATGTACAGTTTCTTTACACAAGTATTTGTCTTCTGTTTTAGTTCTTCAACTGTGTCATTTCTCTGCCAACTCCACTTAGTATTCTGCTGGTATGCAGAAACAATATAATTATTGGGGATATCAGAACTGTTGAATATTGATGGCTGTCAAAACCATAAATAGTGGTCTGTGTGAACTTCAAAGCACCTTTTTTTGCAGAAACAAATCTCTTCCCTGGAGAATGAAATGTACTCACACTCAAGTCTTTGTAAATATATTTTTTCAGTTAATATCATTTCGTTAAAGGGGGGGGTGGCTGGGAAGGTGGCTCAGTGGTAGAGTGCTTGCCTTGCATGCATGAGGCCCTGGGTTTGATTCCTCAATACTACATAAGCAGAAAAAAAACAGTAGTAGCACTGTGGCTCAAGTGGTAGAGGGCTCACCTTGAGCTGAAGAGCTGAAGAACAGCACCCAGGCCCAGAGTTCAGGTCCCACCACCAAGGACAGAGACAGACAGACAGACAGACAGACAGACAGAGAACATACAAACAAGCCTTTACATCTTTTTATTATCATCATTTTCTTGTACTTTAAATTTTTTCCAGGTCCTGATTACATCAAACAGAGATATCAAGAGGGTGTCGACGCTAAAGAAAATCCAGAAGAAAAGGTACCAGAAAAGCCACCCACACCAAAGGAATCGCCTCATTTTTACCGCAAAGGCACGACACCCCCCAGATCTCCTGAGGCCAGTCCAAAACAGAGCCACTCTCCCCAGCCCTCCTCCCCAAAGCCCTCCAAGAAGCAAAACCCCAGCTCAGGGGCAAGACTCAATCAAGATAGAAGGAGTGTGGATGAGCAGGTGACAGCCATTGTCAATAAACCCTTGATGTCGAAGGCCCCCTCAAAGGAGGCGGGAGCAATGGTGTCCAAATACTCTGGCCGCCACCATGTCCCCAACCCCAGTAACGGGGAGCTGCATTCTCAGTATCACGGCTACTATGTGAAATTGAATGCCCCCCAACACCACGCAGAAGAGGAAAATGATGATGGAACAAGCCAGTCTTCCTCAGCACTGGTACACAAGCCGTCACCTAACAAGTGGAGTCCCCCTAAGTCTGTGACAAAAGCAGTTGCCAAAGAAAGCAAAGCTGAGCCAAAAGCAAAGAAGTCTGAACTTGCTATACCAAAGAATCCAGCAAGCAACGATCCGTGCCCTCCTTTGGAAAAAGAAGCCAATTCAGTAAGTCTCACAAAAAGTGCTGTCATTTCTCCCCTTGGCTTTGTTCAGGGAGTGGGGTGGCTGCATTGCGGTGACATCCAGGCCGTGGCAGTGTACAGGGTCATTTATGGTAGAATACCATGTTTATAGATTGAGGCAGCAAAGCGCTCTCCAGGCAGGAGGTCCTGAGCCTACTCAGCTGCCCTCCTCACACATAAATTGGGTAGGTAAAACCTGACCAGCCCAGAATGTCTCATGTATATGTATGAGCTTTCATAGTGAGCTTTGTGTAGCTTCCTCTCCCCCAACAAAAAACCTGTGACCAGTGCCTCCCAGACCTCTAGAAATAAGACATGCTGGGTCATCCTTTCACACACAAACACATCGTCATCTTTACACAAAAGGAAACCTCCTGTAGGAGGTTCTGTTATGAACAATTTTCCCACAAAATTTTAGCTTGGATTTTACTTAATTAGTTAGCTTTGCTACCAGAGTATTTATCATCACAAATGAGACATGTTTCAGCAATTTAATTACTTTAATTGTGTACCTTCTGAATGAGAATGCCTTCAGAATTTTGGTGTTCTTTTAGATGCTATTTATCATTATCACTGTGTCTTGAACATGTAAGATATTTGTTAGTGCAATTACTGATTGACGTGTGTACGCTTCTTCATGAGCTTTAGTTGTAGAATGATACATAGAATTTGTATCTTATCAAATTTTGCAGAATTTATATAATCCATGTAGTTTAAAAAATTTGATTTTTCATTATATAAATTAACTGACCTACTGACTTGGCCACCTATGCCTTCAGATAGAGGCATTAAATATTAATGCAGCTTAACAAATAAAACACCACTAATCTGGTAATGCTAGTGATTTCAAAAATAAGCATAATGGTGTGGATTGGTAACCTGGCCAACAAGATTACAGAGCAGCTCCTATTTATGTTTGTGCAACCTACTCTTAGCGGACCGAAGGTGCAGCTTAAGTGGTAGAGATCCTGCCCACAATCGTGATATCCTGAGTTCAATCCCCAAGACTCCTAAAAACAACAAAAACACAACAACAATAAAAAGTTTATGCTAAGCTGGATACCTGTGGCTCATGCCTGTAATCCTTGCTACTCAGAATCTGATGATAGCAGTTGAGAGCTAGTCCAGGCAGAAAAGTCCCCAAGAGAAGTGGCTCAAGTTATAGAGTGCTAGCCTTAGCACAAAGAAGCTCAAGGACAGCGCCCAAGCTCTGAGTTCAAGCCTCACATCTGACAAAAAAAGAAAGTTTATGCTTAGCATTGAACATTGAAATTAATCTTTTTTAAAATTAAGTAATTGTACAAGGCGGTTATAATTCCATATGTCAGGAAGATGAATGTTGCTCTTTTCATCATTCTCTCCCATTTTCCCTCTCCCTACCTTGAAGTACTTCAATTTCTACATAATATACACTGAATATAATCACTATATTTGCTCACCCTTGTCCTCCCCCTTTTGTGAAATGCATCTTTTGAATTAATTAGTGCTTAAAATCCTTATGCTTGTTTCTCTTGCTAGTATTGATTTTCTCAAATTTTCACCTTGTTATTTAACTAAATATAAATTAATCAGATTAATTGGACAAATAGTTCCCTAAAAGTCAACCTCCATGGAGGTAAATTTCTTTCAAAACAGAGAAATTTTATGAGGCTCTCTACTATTCAGTAAGCATTCATTCTGATTTTTAAGCATTCACTCTTAAAAAATGTTTAACATGAGCTGGGCACCAGTGGCTTACACTGTAATCCTAATTACTCAGGAAGCTAAGATCTAAGGATCACAGTTCAAAGCCAGCCTGGGCAGCAAAACCTGTGAGACTCTAATCTCCTATAAACTACTCATAAGAAAAAAGAAAAGGAAAAAAAGCCAGAAGTACAGCCATGACTCAAGTGGTAAAGCACTAGCCTCAAGCAAAAGAAGTTCAGGGACAGTGCCCAAGCCCTGAGTTTAAGCCAAGCACGGACATCAAAAATAGAAAGAAAAAGAAAAAAAAAGTTTAACATGAATATACCAGTAACCAGTCCTGAACTTTTAAAAGTGATAATCATTTTTCATTAGATGGTTATTATGTACGGTCTCATAAAGCCTCGAGTCTATAGCAGTAACAGTTTGCCTGATTTACAGGTGGGAATTCAAACAAGGCCTTTGTGTAACTCAGTGGTTTCAGCTGGCTCCCAGAATTCATAGGGGTAGTATATGTCTCAGTGCCCTGCTCATTCATCTGTGATTAAAAAAAAAACCTAAAAAGTCTAGTCTTACCTGTAAGATACTTTTTCTAAAACAGTACCTTAGGGCTGGGTATGGTGATTCACTTTTGCAATCCCAGCTACACAGATGGCAAAAGTAGGAGAACTATAGTCTAAGACCAGTCCAAGAAAACATACCCGGTCCTATTAGAAAAACAAACTAAAAATAAAAGGACTGGGGTATGGCTTAAGTGATAGAACACTTACCTAGCATGTATGAGAATCTGAGTTCAATTCTTAGCACTAGAGGGAAAAACAAACAAACAAACTACTATAGGTGCAGTGGATAAATTCAGAGCTTCCTTATTTAAAAACAATCATATGTTTTGCTTGTGCAGAATCCTCTTGGTTTGGGAGTAAGCCAAGCATTCCCATCCTTGAAGGCCAGTCTCCAGGGCCCCTGTTTGTACTCCAGCAGCACTGTAGCCTCCCTGATCTCCATACTGCCTGTGGGTGTGAGGGGACTGTTCCAGAAAGCAAATGACTTTATACCTTCATGTAAAAATGCTGTCTTGCTAATGGTAATGGAAAACTTCCTGTCTTTTGTGCTCCTGAGGATGGACCTCCTCTTCTCTTCCCTGAGGGTTAGGAAGTGGCATAGTCTTCAGAAAGGTAGCCAGTGAATGGCTTCCAAACAATAGAGTAGTACCTACAATTTGGAGCTAGAAAGGCACTGTGCACAGGTAGAAGTTACAAGCAATATGTTTCAATTCATTGACACTTTCCCACGAAAGCAGACATTTGGGAGAAACCCAGAATTAATCAGTCAATGGTCTTGGCGAGTAGCTGAGAGATCCAAGTTGAGTCAGATGTCTGCTTGGAGGTCAGGCTCATGATCAACTTGATCTGTGATTTTATAGTCAGTGAGCTCATGTGAGTGAAGCAATCATAGCTAAGAGTCTGGGGTCTTAGGCAAAACCTCCTGGGTTCAAATCCCAGCTCTACTGCTGGCTAGCTTTGTGACTCTGAACAAATTTCCCAACCGTTCTGTGCCTTTGGTTTCCTTATCTGCCACTAGCCAATGGAATTATGAAGATTACATAATTCTCATGAAGTTCTTAGCACACTGCCAAGCTCAAAGTAAGTGCTTCAAAAGCATTGCCAATTGCTGTGATGTTTGTTTCAATGGCATACTAGTTGAAGCATGTGAAGTTCATAAGTTGAAGCATATGAAGTTCATAAAACTCTGAATAGTTTGGTCCAACCACAGTACCACCCTGCAAATACAGCATATCTTTTGGGACACAGACTAACACATAGAGCAAAGGGAGGGAGTATGAGAGGGACAAGGGAAGCTTCTTAGAGATGAATCTAACTTTTCTTGAGAAATGTATGATCCCTACAAGCAGTGGTTCCATGTGGACTTAGTCCCAGAGGCACGCATTCTACATGACACTGATGTTTCAACTCTGTTAGGAACAAAAATAGCCATTGTTAGGTCCTAATCAGTGAATAGAAAAATTGAGAATTCTCCAATAAGGCATCTCAACACTTTCTGAAGATTGGCTGCCCTTTTTTCTCAGCCATTATTACGATGAGCAACTTGTCTTGAGATAGATCTTCTCCATCTTTCTCTTGAGTTTGTAAATCCTAAAACCTCACTGTGAGATCAAGTTTGAACCTCACCCCAAATAGAAGATAAAGACAGATAATAAAAAAAGTTAAACTTTCTCTAGCTAAAAGTTTTCGCTTTTAACTTTTAGTTAGAGAAGTTAAATTTGACCTAATTATTTAAAATGAGTGATTATCTCTTGATGAAAAGAAAAAAATGATCATTTCTTGAGCCAGAATTTCTTTTCCTATTTTGATCTCATCTGTTTTCTTTTTCTAACTGACCTCCTGAAAGTTTCTTCTAATCTGGACTTTGACTCTGCCTCCCGTGACACCTGTCCCAGTCAGTCTAGAAAAGCAAGACTGAGCTTTTTTTTCATTTTGCTATTTTAAGCTATAACTGGCCACCACAGACATGTTTGTGGGACTTCACCTTAAAGCTTTCTGCCCCATAGCCTTCATGGTATCAAGAGAACACAGAAGTCATGACTTGGTTTCTGCAACTTACACATGGCATCTCAGATTTTTATTTTTCACCTGGTTGCTGTTTGAGCCTTTCATAGCTGCTTTACTCTCATCCCCACTGAGTCATCTTTAAAAATAGCTTTAAATGTAGAGCTACACTGATAGGATAAATATGTGTGTGTTAGAATATATACAGGATAAATATGTATATGTGTTCAGTAGAAAATACGTAAGTATTTTTCATCCTGTATAAAGCTCTCGTTCATTATTCATTGATTCTATATTATCAGTACAATGAAGTGTGGACCAAAACTTGCAGAAAGATAAGCTGCTAAATTCATTCCAAGATAATCCATAAACCCAGACTACTAACCAGTTCTAAATGATTTGTATAAATCCACAGAGACTTCTAAAGGTTTATGAAATGGGAAGTAATAATTGAGACACAGCTTAAGTTTTTGTTTCCTTCCTTCCTTTTTCTGGTACCTGAACCATGTGAATGCTAGACAAGTGTTCTATCACTGAGCCTACATCCCAGCCCTACATTAAGGTGTGTGTGTGTGTGTGTGTGTGTGTGTGTGTGTGTGTGTGTGTGTGTGTCTGTTTGTGCTCTACCACTTGAGCCACAGCTCTGCTTCTGGCTTTTTGGTGGTTAATTGGAGATAAGAATATCACAGACTTTCCTTCCCAAGCTGGCTTCCAGCCTCAAACCTCAGATCTCAGCCTCCTGAGTAGCTAGGAGTACAGATGTGGGCTGCCAGTTCTCTGCTTACATTAAGCTTCTGAAATTGACTTGCAGAGGCACTTGTGATTCTGCTCCCCCTTAAGACACTGAGCTCAATGCTATATCATTCTGGCCCTCTGTTCCCCATCTTGCCAGTCAATCGCAGTCAGTGATGTGACTCAAGCTCCGGGCCTGAAAGATGAGCCCCTTGGCCAATGAAAATCCAGTCTTCTTCACTCCTTCCCCCACCACTAAAAACGTACATTTATAACATTCCAACATAGTCTTACTTGGTGGCCAACTATAACAGGACTGTTTTCCTCATCTTCAGAATAAGCTCAATAAAGTTTCAAATCCAGTTTGGAACGTTTCTAATGCATTTAAGAGTTAGACTCTATTAGAAAGATATGATCTTGGCATTACTAGTAAAATAATGATGGCGTCCCCGCAGGCTAGATCTGAGTAGATGGGTCATATGGGCTTTATTTAAGTAAATAAAAGTTTCAGGACTTTGGGCTATCTAGTAGTTATTATAGTGGTATTTGTCAAAAAATGGATTCTGCAGTTTGCTAACTATAACTTGATTGCTGAACTGGGGTGGTTATGGTTAGAGAAATGAAAAGTAAGGCCTTAAAAAATGACTTCTGAGAGTGTTTAGTTTCTCACTTAACAGATTCCACCTACAGGCTCCAGAGTCCCAGGAAAGCAAAAGTTAGAGACCTCATTTCAAGTTTTTTCTTGGAGGTGTCATTGTCTTCTGTTTTCACTCTTCTTTCCTAACTGCCAGGATAAGGACATGGTTTTGGTTTTGGTTTTTTTTTTTTTTTCGTGGTGTGAGATAAAGTCTAATTCCCACTAGCTCCTGGCCCTCTGTAGTGGTGGGTCCCAACCTAGCCTGAAAACATTTACTTAGTACTGAAAACATTTTAACCTAATTCAGGACTAGATTCATTTTTAAGTGAAAGTTCAGCAACGTTTCCCTCTAAACATAGCACTACTATTTTTAATTTCTACCTTTTGGAACTGCTGTTACCATTCAGCCATATGTGTTTCCCTGTACTTTTGGTAATTGGTTCTGACAATATATTTTGGTAATATATTAACATAGAAATATTGTGCTTGTTTTGTTCCATTTCCCTTGCAGGGCCCTAATTCAGTCATGATTGTTCTTGTCATGCTGCTGAATATCGGGTTGGCCATTCTTTTTGTGCACTTTCTAACTTGATCGGAATCAGGAAAAAGGTAAGGATGGCCTTAATTTATATACAAAATTTTGAATACATACCAGTCTTTTCTCATATTTGAATTTACCGTTCTTCTTAACGATGACATATTGTCCTTCACTTTAATGTTGGCTGTGCCTGAATGTGATTCCACATAGTTACTGAATGCTATAACTGTTTTGACCCTTCAGTGAAGTCATGACAACTAGTGGTGTTAGCCCACAGCTCTGCCGAGGTGTCCTCAGCCCTTTAAATGGCGCAGACACAGGCAAGGAGGCTTGGAATTAGGATGGGATCGCAAGAGAGATGAAACTTGGAAAATTCACCCAGAGGACCTGTTCAGTTCCCCCCGGGAATGCTTTGTGGCTTTGGGGCCCTCTGGGAGCTGAAGCAAGCAGCCATGTTGGAGAGCAAAACTTAATAATAATTCTTTTTTAAAATCTGCTGAAGCAGCCCCATCCAGCGAAGTTCTTGGCATCAGCTACTCCATCTGTCCCAGCAGAGTGTGACTAAACTGGAAATGTATGGAGCTGCAATTTTTTTTTTTGATGGAAGTCAACAGCTGCCTTACTATTTTACCATCTGACGTTTTTAGTAGGGAGCTGGGGAAACGGCTGCCCAAGGAATGCGGTCAGAAGATTGTGTTGCTGTGGACTTGGTTCCAACACTCACTCCTATCTCATTAGAAGAACTAGGTAGCAGCATCACTCACCAGTCTTATGCCATGACCTGCTGCTTTAACATCCCCTGGAATGTTCCGGGAGAGAAAGTTTCATTTGCTTGTGCACGACTCTGCTCATTTTTGCTGTTTATTTAAATATGATGGATACTCATCTATCACCTGCAGTCCTGGCTGGACAAAACACACAGGTTGCATCTCAAGGAAAAGAAACAACAAAATGCTAGTGGAAATGTGTTTGTTTTCATAGCAATACATCCTTTTCCCATGTCATTTATTCTTCCTCAACCTAAAATAAAAGAGGTATCTTTAAAATTTAGCAAGCTGAAGGTAATTTTATATATTTTAACATAACTGAGATGGATTTTTATGCACTGAGGAGATGCTAAAATTTAAAGGCTGAAAGACACCAGAATTCTAAGAATGATAGTCAAAATGTTGCATGGATTGCAGTAATCAGTGTTTAAAGGATTCAGTTTCATTGCTGACGTACTTTACAACCAAATAAAATCTTGTCAGTAGCTATGTTAATTCCCATGAAAGTTAAGCAAGATGCTATTAATAACTGCTCTTTTTTGTTTTCATTGCTGTTCCCAACTTAAATTTTTGTTCAGCACTTACAGGTAGCACATAAGGCTTTGTTAAAATCACTGCTCCTCAATTTTCTGCCTTCTGTGTTTTTCAAAGTCCTTTTATAATTTCATTTGGAACTTTAAAATCTTTAGACATTTTTATTTTAAATATATTTGTCTTTTGCAATCCTTTGTTGTTCTGACATATTCTGATTTTTTGCTGTTTTATAGTTTATCCTTTATTACTCAGAAGCATGCTTACTTAGGAGAAACTAAATGGTCATTATAAAAGTAATCATTTAAAATGAAATCAGGGAGGAAAAGTATTTGTTAAGTCTCTTTAAGACATTACATTGTGGAGGGGGAGATTTTCCTAACGATTTCATGATTTGCATGGTTTAACCAAGATTCTTTTTACCTTGTTAAGTATGTTATCTTTTAATGCAGTAGGGACAGCTCACTGAATTCCCATGGCCGCACAGCCGTACACTGTGTGCCTTCTTACTCGCACAGTAGAAACTCGGTGGCATTTTTTGCAGAAGTACAATATGTTTGAGAATCCTGGGTATGACCAATATGGAAAAAAAGCAGAAGGCAGAAAGAGAGCAAGTGAAGAATCGCAACTTGTATATTTATTTTTTACATTTTGCTTTGACTTTTCAGTTTAGGAAGTACGTTTTTAACCCAAGAACAAACTTAAGTTCCCCAGTCAGTCTCCTCACTCTCTCACTGCTCCTTCCTGACCCCGTAGCTCCTTATCGCTGGGAAAGTTGAATTTTTTTAAGAAAATAAAATATTTAATCTATTAAGTTTATTTAAAACGTTGTAATGCCTTGGAAATAATGGGTAACAGATAACTAAAGGATATGTTTATAAAGTGAGCATGTTGGTTCCATTTATAAATATATGTATGATTTATAAGCTTTTTTAAAACAAAGCTCAAATTGTTGGTATTTTTCTAAACTGTGCACAGCTGTATTTTACATGAAGGCTCTTTCTAATGGGTTGTTATACTGTACTCTACATTTTGGACAGCACATGAAGTCTGCCAATGTACTTAATAAAAACATGACTTTGTTTATTTAAAGTTTCTTGCTGTGAAAAAGAACTCCCTACCTGTGAGTTCCTTTATTTATAATCCTTGAAACCAAAATGTATAATGTACAGTTTTCACAACTGTATCTGCTCTAATAAAAAAATGTTGGTTATTAATAAAGTTGGAAGTGTGTTTACTTTGTGAGTAAATTACCGTCTTGAAGTATGTGGAACTTTTTTTTTCTTTTTTTAGTCTTGATGGTGTTGAGAGTTGCTGTAAACCAACAATGGGGAGACACCCAAAAGGCCAAAGCAGAAGGTAGACTCAGGTAGACATGCTGCCCCTATGCTTGTTTCTGTCCTAGGCCCTCCAAATCATTGTGAAAAGTAAGATTCACATCTCTGCCTAATGCCTTCATTCCTTGGAGTAAAAACTCAGGATTTGGAAGACTGTTATTATTTTTAAGCAAAACTCTAAGGTTTATTATTATTATTATCTTCCAATAGCTGGACTGAGAGGATTCAACTTAACATGTCAGTTATGTCACTGCATTAACTTAATGGCACCCCTTTTTTTATCATTCTTCCCATCACTTCCAACCCCACCTGTCTCCTCCATTTTCCTCGTTCCATTTTCACATCCATACAATGAATACTCTGACTTTCATCCTCCCACACTTCCTCTCCACTGTCAGCTCATCTCCCCATGACTTCATCCCTTTCCCCTTGACCTCAACTCCAGTACCAGCTTCCTGCTATTCATTTTCTTAGACTGTAAGTTAGTTGTTCAATGGAGCGACACCACTGGAATCTCCTCCATAAGCATATATTCTCTTCTATAAGCATATATTCTCCTCTCTATAGTCATATACCATACTGTAGTTAATATGTTGGTATACATATGTATATGACCTTGTATGTATTTACTATATATTTATAAACTAGATCTAACTTCCACATATGAGAGAAAACATGCATCCTTTGTCTCTGAGCCAAACAACTTGACTTAACCTAAGCAAAAATCAAAGTTGACATAAATCTCCCTCCTACATGGGAGGTGTCAGTTAATGTTTTCTGAGAATAATGCTTTTGATTAATAGATACGATGCTGTGGCCTCTACTGTTTTCCAGTGTACTGGGGAAAAGGCAGGTGCAACAGGATGTTGAATCAACTTTCTACTGCCAGAACCTCCAGCCTCAGTGCCCCTTTTGAAGCCATGTGAGATGCAGGCTAGGCTGGTTGGGCATGTGGCAAACTGCCTGGTATGGGATTTCACTAAAACAACTTCCTGGGATGCTTCACATGCTTCCAGATCCTCAAGTATACTACTCCTCTTGAGAACTAAGGTATTGGAGACTCCCATATACATAACTTACAACATTGTCACCTCAGAGCTTTAGCTGAGTTATCAGCTGAAATTCATCTTCTGGCCAGTCCTAAAGACAAAGATCATAGAGCTCTTTGAAGCAGTAGGTGAATGCAAAGGTGCTGAGGAGATTACTGATTCCAGATTCATATCCAAACCACACATTTTGAGGGCCAGAGCAGGGGTGAAGACTGTGTGGTTGAGAAAGCTGGAAAATCTTCTACATGCTCTTCTAATGCAATAACTATATATCTCTAGTCATGTCAAGCACGCTCCCTGGGGAGATACTTGCAGGCATTTGTAGCTCTCCTCATGCTTTGGAGAGTTGTGTAGCCTTGTCTGTCCAATGTGATAGATAGCTATAGACATAGCATGTTGTTCCAGTAAGGGCAGCAATTCATCAGACTGTTTAGTTATTCCAAGTTTGAGAATTACCACTGGTGTCTAACATTGCCTTCAACCCAAACATACTAAAAAGTACCTCAGTATTCTAGAATAGCCTCTATAGAGGCCTAATTTACAGAAGTAGGAGAAAACAGCAAGTATATAGAATACAGTAGCTACTGATAGATATAATAAGAAATGGATGAAATTCTGGCTGTGGTCATGATGGACTGTGAATTATTCTCTAATCTGTGTCCTGGTTTCTTCATCTGTAAAATAGGTATAATCATAGCCCAGGTCTTACTGAAAGGCTGGAGAATGGAGTGCCCTTGTTGATGTCAAGTACTTAGTACTTAACTAGAAGAACAAGGGGTGGGGGGAATGACCAAATTCCTACCAATGTCTCCAACATACTGCAAAAAAAAATCATTGAGAACCCAACCTCAAGACTTCTTTACAAAAGTTAATTATGCTATCAATCAGATCATGTTCTGTCTTCACTGATAATTAGTAAACCTTTCTCGCTAAAGATCAAAGGCCATACCTAGGATTCTTTTTCTATCTTCTATGATTTCCAAACTAGGAGAATGTGAGATACTTGCTTCATAAAGAACTTTATCATCAGTGCCTCATTGGATTCTTAGACTATTCCTGTGAACCTTTCTGTTAGATGACTTGCCCAACATCATTCAGCCAAAAGGCTAAAATAGCTGAGCTCTAGTCCCAGATCTGAATAAATTTTGTGCTTTTCTTCGTGTCATTTATTGAGTAGTACTATTCCACATTGTCACTTATCAACCACACACCAAAAAAAAGTATCAAATACATAAAATCCAAGATAGCAGTGAGAGTTGAATATCTCCATTGCTGTATCTCCGTCACAAGCTACCTGATGCTTCTGAGTTGATACACATGTAACGTGGTTTAGCATTCAAATGATACCTTGGTGTTGGAAGTAAGAGACATGAGAAATGAACTTGTGTGTGCTTGAATTTGTTCTCAGAATTAACATAGAAATTTCACATAAGTTCCTTGAAAATCTTAAAAGGTTTAGACTAATTCTTAGTGTTCTTTTAGTATTGTACCTGATAGTCCATAAAACTTACTCAATATTCTCATGAATCTATGTTTTATTTAGATAAACCATTACTGCAATTGCATGCAAGTGTAGGCCTACAGTTTGTCCATTTGATATCTGTTAAAGTTGTTTACTTACTTGTTAGAGAGTATAGTAGTCCCTCAGAAGACTAGAGGCAGAGAAGAATCCACTGGAAGATTACAATGGAAGCCCTGAGTTTAATCCCCAGTACTACAAAAGAGAGATTACAGTGGTGATTTTCAATCAGCTCTGTCCCTCACTGCAAGCAAACTCATTCATATAATGTCAAGAACAATATTGAAAATACAGTTTTCATGGTATTAGCACAAGGGAAAGCAATGGGCTTTTCTTTTCCAGGATGCTGTATATCATAGCCGTGTCACTCATGCTGCATAGAAAAGAAGTTGTTAGGTATCATCAGCACACACTGTAAAAGCTGAAGGAAAATAAGCCAAAGGTCATCTAATTTTCTCATTCTGACGCATCTTGACAATAGCACTCAACCAATAGAGCAAGTAACCAATGGTCACATAACTTCTAAAGTCGATTTAAAAAGCCAACAAGATGCTCAAACCTACAGAACCACACTGTTGTGCAGTCAACACATGGTAAAGTCCATAACCTAAGAAATAGAAATGGAATATTAAAAGCAGCTTTAGGAAGTGGTGCTGTGGCTCAATTGGTAGAATGCTAGCTTTGAGCTGAAGAGCTGAGGGACAGCGCCCAGGCCCAGAGTTCAGGCCCCACAACTGACTGAAAAACAAAAAGCAAAAAGCAGCTTTACATTTGTCATCAAACACTCAGGAGCAGAGACAGGACATGGAGAGTTTGAGATCAATCTATCCAAAATGATAATTAAAAACTTAAAATAATCTACACACAATGCAATTTTATACAGCCCCAAGAAAGAATATTACGTCATTTGCATAGAAATGGATGGACCTAAAACAAGTCGTGTTAAGTGAAGTAAGCCAAGCTCAGAGAGACAGTGCATGTTTTCTCTCATATTCAGAAGATAGATCTAAAATACACCAGGAAATAATAAGTTATATAGGTCTCTAGGCATTCATACACAGTGAGACCAAAAGAGGATGCTCTTAGGAGAGGAACACAAAGGCACAATTGTCTATGTTTATCTGCTGGGAAGGTGGTTCAGTGGTAGAGTGCTTGCCTTGCATACATGAGGCTCTGGGTTCAATTCCTCAGCACCACATAAGCAGAAAAAAGCCCTAAGTAGCACTGTGGCTGGAGTGGTAGAGCCCTAGCCTTGAGCTGAAGAGTGAGGGACAGCACCCAGGCCCAGAGTTCAGGCCCAGTGACCCACAAAAAAAATAAATAAATAAAAATGAACTCCAGGAAATGAAAACAAGGTTATTTCTTCTTTGTTCTATTTTTTTGTCCTGTTTACGTGACTTTGAGAGGTTAAGTGGAGGCCCAGAAATAGAGGGACAAAGGGTGAACAAATGCAGCAGTGGTACTCACAGGACATTATGTTAAAAATGAACTGTATAACTTGTGGGTGAGGATGGGAGGGAAAAAACAAGAAGAAAGCAAGGGAAGGGATGACAATGTCCAAAAAGAAATGAGCTCTTTACCTAACTTATGTACATCACTGTTATAATAATGATAAAAAAAATTTTACTAACAAGTTTTTTTTTAATGTATGACAAAAACAGCTGAGAGTTGAAAGAATCAGATCTTTGAGCTAACTAAAAAGTAGTAGATGTTAGAACCACACTGTTCATTATTCAAAAGGTAGCACTAGAGTATTTTTCTTAACTGAATCTAAACAAGAATTTATCAAGTACTATAATACAAGAAAGCAATGTTTCTGGGCTAAAATTAAGGTCTGGTGTAATCTATATCCCGTCTGTTATTATATATGTGTTATTATATATGTGTGCATGATAAAAAAAAGATTTAGCATAATTTTTCATTTCTCACTATTAGCATAGAAGTTCTCTCTCTCTATCTCTCTCTCTCTCTCTCTCTCTCTCTCTCTCACTTTCTTTTTTTCTCAGCATTACTTGCCAGACAAGCATGTTATTGCTTGACCTAAACCCCTGTCTCTTCTTGCTTTTGTTATTTTTCCAGTAGGGTCTCACTTTCTCACCAGACCTGGTCTGGCAAGACCATGCTCTTCCTGACTACCTAGAATGCCAGGTTCTTGCCACCATACTAAGCTTTTTATTGGTCAGGATGGGATCCTGTGAGCTTTTTGCTGGAACAACCCTAAACGGAGTCCTGATCTCT